AGCACGTAGACTTTCTACATTTGAAAGGCGCGGCATTTTCTAACAAAGATGAAAATAACAATTTTAATTTGTTTTTCCAGTTCAAGTTACGTGTGCGTGTTCAGTTTAAGCAAACTTGCATCGAATGAACTCACGAGTTTGTGTTTGCACGTGTTTTTCAGGTTTTTCATCTTTATATGCTCAAAAGTCACGTGATCCACGTGACTTTACAATTTTATGAAATTAAAGGCTTCTTACTACTTACTATCGTTAGAAACACTTTAAAATTTATTTAACTTACCAGAAAAAAAAAAATTGTTGAAATTCATCAGTGTCAAGTTTTTAATTTGGCTGTGTATAGAATAATGTCACACCAATCAAGCAAGTAAACTCAAATTTTCTGTACAAAGTTCTGATTTAGATAAATCTTGCTTCCATATCGAGGGTTTTATGTACGGATTTCGCATTCCGTATCTAGGAACCCGTAGATTACGCTTTTCTGCTAATCTGAAATCGGCCAAAATGTTTATGAAATGAAATGGGGTTTAACGTCCTACTGTTCTGCCCCGACTGAGCTAATGAATACGAATAAAATGTCTATGAACATTCTTAAAGAAACAAAAATGGCAAAAGCATGTTGACTTGGACATATTGCAGGTCTATTTCAAATTCTATCATTTCAAAATTTCACCATGAGGTCTGATTTAAAAGAAAGCTCCAGGAGAGTACATTAATTAACTTAAATATTGATTTAGTAAATACATTATTTAGGATGATTTGTTACTACTTATCTTACGTGAAATCCCTTCAGAAGTCTTAATTTAACTAATTAACGCCTCAGACTAAAAAGTGAAAAAAATAACCATAGGATAAGGATGTATATTTATCTGAATTTATTTGGTTTATCAGACAACACAATATGATGTGGCCCCTAACAGAGACATAAATACTTAATTGATAGTTAATATATATTTTCATCAGACAGAACCAGACAGAGACTAGGAATTCTGACATAGTTTTTTTGCTTTATTCTTGTCAACTCTCAATAAAAACTGTCTAAAAATCTAGGCATTTATAAACCAGTTTTCAAACAGTTCAAATTAATAAGTTAGATACAGCCTTGAAAGAGACAATTGTAAAGTGTTTGGTTAAAGAAGGGGGTTCTTAAAATAACAATCGACATATATATTTATATAGTTAGAAATGGGTCTAACGTCCACTCGACACAAACTAGGTCATTTCGGGGCTCACACATGGTTCAATTTTATTTCAATAATTTGCTTGCGCGTATTGGTCTTGAGCAGAGGGAAAAATTAGATGACCAGAGAAAACCCCCGACGATGGACAGGCGACCCCACTCATTGTCACGTACAGGCAGGGATTCGAAACCACGTCACTTGATTCAATCAATGACCGACCTTTATAAACCACACAACCCGCTCCATATATTCCTAGTTACGGTACAGTAAAATTTATCCCATAGAAATGAATTGAAATTGGTTTTAACATCCTGCTTTTATGCACCGACTTGGATAATGAAGACGAGTGTATGCCATATATATTGTGCTATGGATGAAATTTGGCCCGGAGAGCGGCGCTACGGATTACTGTTATTCCGAATTACAATAACTTTGAAGGGTTCTGTTACGTACACGCCAACGTATACATGGGACCTCAGGTTGTCGTTCTGCACCACTTACAAGTGGAAACCATGTTGGAAAATCTCGGGAACTTTCCTGGCCAACACCAATATCAAACCCCCTTCTTATTGACCCAGCGCCCTACTTACAAATACGATTTCTATTGGACACGAATGTCAAATCGTTCGATAAAGTCCTATTCAGTAGAGTTACTCTAGATTTCTACTGCTGTCAACGTTATCAGATTGATATCACTTTTGCTTCTGTATCCATTATTATATCACACATTTCCTATATCAAAAGGTTAACAATGTTGTGAACAAAAGTGGGGAACATTCATTGAAATATCGAAGTTTGAGGAACTAAACCTCCAACTCAATTGTTTCATAATATTCGAAATTTAAAACACGAATTAGAATTCAATATAAATCCATTCAATCACTATCGATGTTGTTATCTTGCCGTGAAAGTATTGTATTCTAATATCCAATATTTAAACATACATCTTCATAACAAGAAAACCAGAAAATTACAAGAAGCCATCCAATTCAAGAGATTTAAACCTGAACTTAATAGAGGCGAGAGATTATATCTTCCAAGGAGTTATGATATCTTAATTAATCATAAATCAATATCTTTGATGTTCATTTTGTATTGTTATTATTGTTCTTTTTATTAGCCCTTTGGTGGTTTCAGATTAGTTACTGTTTTTGATACCTTCTTGTATATAATTTGATTTCTTGCTATTATACTGTCATTACTTACTTGAGAATGACAAGAGAAGAAGAACTTGTTGAAACGTAGTATGAAATAAAATCAGTGATTGTTTTCCATAAATATAAATTTGTGTTTTTATATTATATATTTATCGAACATAATTGATTATAAATTGCAATAAATTTTTAAAAATCTAATAGTAAGTGCCCGGGGATTGCAGCATACTTAATTTACACAAAACAAACCTACGGACAGGACACAATACGCAGAAATCACAAGCAAACGAACATATCAAATTGAATGGATCCGGCGGCTAGCCGTAAGCGTCCACTGTGCTGTGCAGTCCCGGGCCTGTAGTGATAATTGAAAACAAACACTTTTAGATCACATTCCGTTATTACTTCCTTGTTCATTTTTTTAAGCTATCTGCTATCGTTAAATGAATGAGCAAGGAATAAGTGTCTTTATATTTTATATATAACAGACTTTATAGTATATAATATCAATAAACGGATTTGTCCAATGCTTTCAGCTCAGAATCGTTACTAAACTCCCACTGTGTAAATAAATGCATTGTTACAACCATAATACTCTTAATAAAAGCAGAACAAAGCCGGAAATGAAGTCAGCAGCGGGAATGCATTATAAAACCTGATATAATAAAAATACATTTTCACGTTTAACATTCTGTATACTTTAGTTTATTTTTATCTCCGTCTTAAATAGAAAACACATTGACCATGTGCAAACCTTATACACAATTATTGTTATGTAACCGCGCTTTCTATTTTGTTGCCAAAAAAGAAATAATTGAAAAACTTTTAAGTATGTTGTTTATTTATCTTTCTTAGTAAATTGACATTTTGAAAAATATTTACATGGGATTATTGTATCTGATCTGACAGATCAAAGTCATTAATCTATTATATGTGATTAATTAAAATACAAAAAGTAATACATCTAAATATGATCAAGAAGAGTAAATCATGTCAATCAATTCCATATTTAGCCTTGGTATTATATCTTACATAATTAACATGCATTTGCGGGTAAATACGGGAAAGTAGAAGTACAATAACGTTTTATGTGAAAACGGCGAATCAGGGACAGGCTGAGAGAAAGAGAGAGAGATAGAAAGAGAGAGAGAATATTTTACCAAAACTGATTGTAAGTGGTGCTTTCTAGAGTATATCATGAGTACCAAACCGTAGTGTGAGGTAGCCTGAACAATTAAAAAAAAACCCCACGTAAATCCATGACTAAAAGATTCCCCAACTACGCGAGAACGGAGCCTACCAGTTCCTTCTCAGTTCATCCCTGCCACAAATAATTCTTAAAGGTGCATTATGTAAGAGCTACATCTGCCTACTGCAGGTCGTTTTTGGCTTCAAATGTTATATAAACTATAATTTAGACAATTATGCCTATAATCAACTCTCTAGATCATTGGATGGCCGAGATTTAAATGGGTCGAAATGCAATAACCCATGGATAATTGCGGCCTAGATATGGTCGGCACTGTATCTAAATCTTACATAATGCATCGTTTTTGTCTTAATCTTTATTTCACTATCTCTGAGTTCTCTCTATAATGTCCACTAACCAGTCTATCAATTTGTCTTAACAATAAATTGAAACCTTTTCTTGTCATCGTAGTAATAGGCAAATAATGATTAATGCCAACACATATAACTATCTCTCAGATCATCACACCATAAGAGTCGTCTTTCCATAACGTAATTGAATTGTCGGACACGTAAAAGAACCATTGACAGTTGGAAATCGACGAAGTGTGGGCAGAAAACTCTAATCCCTGACAGTTTTTGTAGGCGACTTTTTTTGGGTTTACTGCACCGAAACAATAGCAGCAGGATAATCTTATTTCTCACAAATATACTGTTAAATGTCGAAATTGAGCGATAATAGTAAGGTTTTTACTGTGGTTTTTTTCGGATTGCCCCATGCGCGACACATGCTTAAGCTCCGCCCCTGCATACACGGCATGCTATTCTCAAAGGAAGATTTCAATAAATAATTGTTAATGCTCCGTGTTTTTCCACAATATATAAAAATCCCCTTTTCATTAAAATAGTCTGTTGTGCCTTTGACATTTTACTTTAATAACCTTAAACATTCGGAATGATAAAGAAAATGAACCTTTTTAAGAAACATGAAAATTAAAAAAAGTAAAACAAGCCGAAGAAAGATTTTTAAGAGATATTATAATTTTCGAGATCTTCACTGATCGGGATTGATTTTTGATTTGCTTTGATTTAAGAATACTGTTCTACCGCAATGTTCAAATTACAACTCCTTGCATAATTTAAGAAAGATCTTTCGAGTCATCCATAAGTTATAGCTGTTTTAAGATACCTACCTGTTCTAGCTAGCAATTGTTAGTTGATATTATATGAAGTTTTAACTTAAAAGTACATTTACTTTCTTATTGCAATATCTCTTGTATCTTTAACAGAAAAGTTTCAAGACGTTAAAATGGGTCATACCAGCTACAAGGATTTAAAGTGTTTACAAAATCATTTCAGATACAAAATTACTAAAATTAAAAACGTTTTAAATAATATTATTACTATTAAAACAAAGCATTATTATTTAAAAATATAAAGCCGTGTATACATAATATAAATGGCGATGTAAGATATTTACCTTAAAGGTGTCCAGCTTACATACTAAGCACGTATAGAACTTTCCTTTGTAAGAGTTCCCCAAACTTCTTATCTCCCTGGCTATCGAGATTCAAATTTAAAGAACTATAACATAAAGCACCGAATACTTCGATGGCAATATATCAATAAAACCGAATAAACCAATCAAAATATCAATAGAGATCACGTGAAGAGTCCAAGCGCGTGCTTCCCACCGCAATCAGTTCCATATTGGCAGAATCCTGAAAGTGAGTACTATACTATCACCAGTCCATATGAGCCTGAGGCTAGATTTTAGCAACCGGTGGCTGGATCTTAATAATTGGCTGTATTACCCGATACAGAACTTTCTACGTTTCGTAATTCATGTAATATAGTTTGTACATCCGCCGAGTTTGGTCCATGGGGTATAAATCATTGCCCTTGACCAATAGATCAGAATATTTTTATTTATATTGAATCACATTGCTTTGAGAAAATCAAAATATGTGGCACACACACGTGTTGAATATGACTTTGAACTGCACATTTAAAATTTCGTGTCACTGATGTACCTTTGTAAAAAAAATATAATAATGATAATAACAAATCCGTGCTGAAACAAGATTTTTGTTCTAAATAAAGCCTCGGTCATATCAACTTTTAATATAAAGTATATAAATGGCAATCCGTGATTTCTATTTAGTAAACTCGGCCATTTATATTCATATCAAAGAATAAACCGTGATTAGATTTTGTAAAATAGTCTTATTCAATTCTGGACATATCCCATTCACAGATAAAGAAATAGATATAAACATACAAAAAGATCCATAATTGTATTATCTAAATAAATCAGATCATGATTATTGTACATATTATGATAATAGTTCAGAAAGAGTACGGAAATTAAAAGGACATACGAAATTGAAATAGTGCAGAACACAACAAAACAAACAGCCAATTTTCACTTACGGGTGAACCGAATGACAAAACTTGACCTGTATATCAATATGAAATCCCCCCAACCCCTCAAACCATAAAATAAAACAAGCCAAAAACACAACAAAACTGATAATTACTTTATGGGACAACACTTTGCAATGACAAGTGGTATCCGATGTTTCCAAAAATGAACGCAACTTTGTTAAACGAAAATTTCAATGTCAAAGCCCATTAACATTAAGGTGGGGTGGGGGTTGGATTGCCGAATGGTTAGCAAGTGCGCGCTGTATCATAAGGTCTGTCATTAAGTCAACTGCCCCTACGCGCAAGCGAAATATTGAAATAAAATTGAACCATGTGTTAATCCCGAAATGACATAGTTTGTGTCGAGTGGACATTAAACCATCTCTCTCTCTCTCTCTCTCTCTCTCTCTCTTCTCTCTAAATCTCCATTAACATTATTGCAGCTACTCTTAACTCTTATGGGCGAGGGGGTAGCACGTGCGCGCTGTATCATAAGGTCTGTTATTGAGTCAACTGGCGTGGTTTCGATTTCCCGGTTGCACGTGGCAAGGAGTAGGGTCGCCTGTCCAACCTCGTGGCTTTTCTCCGGGTCTTCCGGTTTCCTCCCACTGCTAAATCCCCTACGCGCAAGCGAATTATTGAAATAAAATTGAACCATATGTTAGTCCCGAAATGACCTAGTTTGTGTCGAATGGACGTTAAACCCCATCTCTCTCTCTCTCTTTCTCTCTCCCTCTCGGCAGTTTCAAAAGGGTATTGCTATATTACGCCTCCATATTCGTTTTTCTGTGTTCTTTAAAATTTTTATCATAAGTGCAAAAGTCAGTCCATGCTTCTTTTATGAGATTGTAATAATGTAACTGCCGTTAATGGAAAATAAAATATTTTTCAAATTTAAAAAAGAAATAAATATGTATATCCATTCTGTATAGCTTTACCTTTAACAAGCCATATACCTAACAGTATAATAATCTTCCCATTATATATAACTAGGTTTTAAATGAATCAGGGTCCTCTGATGTCAAGATGAGATTTGATTCTGACCAGTGGGTCGAACTTTTATTTAATTATGTGATCTGATATCAGTATGATTCAGTTACTATTGACCAGATAATTGCAACCATTTCAGCAACTGTGTGATTCAATTATATTAAGCGGTAGTGGTATAAATAACAGTATAAAATTCACTTATTACTCCACTGTTCTATAACAACTAATTGCAAACATTTAAAAAATATTATCGTATAATTCCCGTAGTTCTAGAATCAATCTGATTAAAACACAGATCCTATTTCGTTTCGTTTTTTATAGTTAAAAATTTCGTTTTGTTTCGTTTTTTATAGTTCAAAATTTCGTTTTACTTGTCTTCACAACACTAGGATGTTGTAGTTGATGTGAGGAATTAGCCAATGAAACGGTATGTTACGGCGAGTTCTTGGTGTGCTCTGCACGGAACTGTGGGTAAACCCCTAGACACCGCTGATTCATTATTCAATGGCTGACGTCATATGGTCAAAAGCTCGTGTGACACTTGACGCGACCTCCCAGTACAACTGGTCAGATCTTTTTTTTTTTTTAAACAATATTTTATTCAGAAATTGAAAGAGATTGAGGAACAGGCATAGCCTATATGACCTCTCTCCTAAATACAAGAATTAATAAGGATATGTAAAAGAAATAAGTGAGTAAACAACAAAACAATACAATGAATACTTAATCAACAATATTGTATATATACATATTTACATTGGCTACGCAGTTGTTCATGTTCGCATTTTGATCGATATAGATGTTACACTGATCTTAAAACCCTCTGCTGCTGTCAAAAAAAATGTGGACCTTTTCAAAGATGGCTAACGAAATGAAATGAAATGGGGTTTAACGTTCTACTGTTCTGCTCCTATGCTGGGCTAATGAAGACGGGCATACGCCATACAGTGTGCTATGAGGGAAATTTTGCCCGGGCAGCGGCACTATCGCCTACTCTTATATCGAATTCCAACAGCCAAGGGATCTTTTACGTGCATTCCAATGTATACACGGGACCTCGGTTTTTCGTCTCATCCGAAGGACTAGACAGCTATCCTTGTCAGGCCCTCCGTCCTGCATCACTGACAAGGGGGAACCACGCCGGAAAATATGGATGAACTTTCTCGGCCAATGCAGAGATCGAACACCCGACCTCCAGGCTAGCGAGCTAGCGTCTTACCCACTTAGCCACGTGATCCCCTAAGATGGCTAACGAAATATGATTGCCGCTTACACCGTATAACAGATTATGTGTATTGATAAAATTAGGTGGTAAAAAATTTATAGATATTTTGCGTGCATCAGAATGTAAGGAGCAATGTAAAGGATAATGATCGGTATCTTCGAAGGAATGACCGCAATCACACTCGGGGCTGTCCAAAATATGCCTTAAGAATTTATGCCCATTTAGGTCACTGCAAGAGAGACGAAGACGACTATGTAATATTTGATTTTTACGTTTGCAAAAGTTGAAATAAGGTGGTATATTTTTTATCTTTATCAGTTATTTTAGTTTTAAATTTACTTATAGAGGTCGAATTTTTAATATTTATATCAATATTGCTATTACGAAGATTATAAGGAGTTTTTGAAAGCTGAATTAAATTGTGGAGGTATGGAGGGATTAGCTGATTAATAATTAGGTACATTAGGATGAGTTTGTGACGTCTTCGCCTCTCTTGCAGAGTGATAAATCCTGTTTCTTCATATAATAACCTATGACTGGTACCCTTCACAGCCCCGCATATAGTCCTGGGTGCATCTAGTTGTAAGTGTTCTAATTTATTTTTTAGTTCGTCTGTGCACCCATCCCATATTACGTCAAAATAGTCAAAATGTGGAAGAATAAAAGAGGTATATATAGTTTTCAAGGTATTTCTATTAAGGCTGTGTATGGAATGGGATTTAACGTCCTACTGTTCTGCTCCTACACTGGGCTAATGAAGACGGGCATACGCCATACAGTGTGCTATGAGGTAAACTTTGCCCGGGCAGCGGCACTATCGCCTACTCTTATTTCGAATTCCAACTGCCAAGGGATCTTTTACGTGCATTCCAATGTATACACGGGACCTCGGTTTTTCGTCTCATCTGAAGGACTAGACAGCTGCCCTCCGTTCTGCACCACTGACAAGGGGAAACCACGTCGGAAAATCCAGATGAACTTTCTCGGCCAATGCAGGGATCGAACACCCGACCTCCAGGCTAGGGAGCCAGCGTCTTAACCACCTAGCCACCGTGACTCCCTTAAAGACCTAAGACAATTAATCATTTTACTCGTTTTAGTCAAATTAATGTTAACGTGTTTGTCCCATTTGCAGTTTTCCTGAAAAGTCAATCCCAAATACTTGTGTTGATAAACTTCTTTAATAGGTATATCGTCTAAATTTAGTGTAGGTAAATATGGGTCTCGTTTAGTAGTCAGTGCAAGTGATTCAGTTTTCAGCGGGTTAAAGGAAACCAGCCACGTTTTTGCCCATTTGTTTAGCATTTCAAGATCACTATTTAAGACAGTCGCGCATGCGGTTGGGTCATTAATTTTTAGATAGATGCTAGTGTCATCCGCAAAAAGTCGAATATTCGATTTCATGTTCTTAACGATATCATTTATATATATAAGAAAGAGAAAGGGCCGAGGACAGATCTTCATATAGTGCAATTAAGGCCATCGGAAGTATTAAAAACGAAACGAAATATAGATCTGTATTTTAATCAGATTGTTCTAGAACAGAACAGTAGGATAATGCAAAGGACGCGTAGTCATAGAAAAGGGGAGTAATGCATAGGACCCGTACAGTGGAAACATTGCAAAATTTGTGTATTACTTTGTTACCCTATTCCAATCTGTTTTGCAACTTTCTTACACACAAAGGCTAAACAAAGATTTTCAATTTTATTAAAAATATGGAAGTACAAGCAGAATAAATGCTTCGTTGATTGTATTAACTAAAACGTTGATTAGATATGCGCCAATATCGACAGGAACCGAGATCTTTATCAAAGTCTGATAAAAATTCGGACCTCTAGAGTGTCCACAAGCTAACAACATGATTTTTCGTTCAATCAGGATCCATAATCCATGAAGTTAC